ATTTACACATAGAGTTAATATTGATATGTTAGCATCTATATTTGCCATTTTGTTTGACTTTTCTCTGGCTTTATTTTTTAATTTTTTTTTTGTCTTTTTTTGTTGTTATTCATCCCTCTATTGGTTCTGTCTTTAGGACTCCTTGTAGTATTTTTTGGAGTGGGGGTTTAGTCATAATGAAATTCCGGAGTTACTGTTTTTCTGGGAAGGTCCTTATTCTTTCTTCATAGAGGAAGGAAAGCTTTGCGGGATAGAGTATTCTTGGTTGGCATTTGTTGTCATGGAGTCTGTTGACTATGTCCCTCCTCTCTCTCCTTGCCTGTAGTGTTTCTTTGGAGAAGTTTAATGTCAGCTTGATTGGTTTTCCTTTGTATGTTATCTGTTTCTTCCCTCTTGTCAGCTTCATTATTTTTTCCTTGTCTTGGATTCTTGGGAACTTTACTATTATGTGTCTTGCTGTATTTTTCCTTTCATCTTGGAAATTTGGTGTTCTTCTTGCTTCTGGTATGTCTGTTTTCAGCTCCTTCTTCATATTTGGGAGGTTCTCTTCAATTATTTCCTTGAATATTTTCTCTGTTCCTATGTCTCTCTCCTCTACTTCTGGGATTCCCATAACTCTTATATTTCCTTTCCTCATGGAGTCAGATAGTTCCTGAAGTCTTCCTTCATTCTTTTTCCTTTGTACTTCTCTTTCCTTTTCTGTCTTGGTTCTTTTTATTTCTGTGTCTTTGAGAGTACTTATTCGTTCTTCCATTTCATCTATTCTGCTTTCACTGCTTTTGCCAGAGTTCTTTAGCTCTTCCATTAATCCTTTGATGTCCTGCGTTTCTTTCACTTCCCTCTTTAGGGACTCAATTTCATTCTGATTATGGACTGTTTTTTCCTTATCGCTTTTTTTCCTCAATGACTTCTGTCAGTTTTTTAATCATGGCAATTTTAAATTCTCTATCTGGAAGGCTCAGAAGGTCTTCCAAGTCACTGCTGTTGCTTTCTGGTGGGTGATTTTCCTTTTGTGGTGTGTATTTTCCTTGAGGACTTGCTTGGTTGCTTGTAGTTTTTCTTCTCCCTGCTGTGTGTTTTCTAATTTGTCCCATGCATTGGGACACTGTGTTGCCGGTACTGGCCAGCATCTTTTTGGTGTGCTCTTTCTGGGATGTTGGAAACTGGTGGTCCAATTGAGTCAAAAACTGTTATGCCAGAAGGCCAGCGGGCAGTGGTACTATGAATATGTTAGTGGTCACTGTCACAAAAATCTCCTCCTTCTGTATTTGTTTAATTCCAGAGGTGGGTCTTGCAGTTTCACAGACTGCCCTGGCTGTGGTTGGATCGCCCACTGGGCTCCAAATAGCTGCATCCCCCTCTGGATCCAACTGGCAGCCAGACAGGGCCTGGCTTGTTGGGGCTTTTCAGCTCACCTCTGGCTGTGGGGGCAGCCCTTTCCCAGTTCCACACAGTCTAGGTGGGTTCTGGATGCTAACATCATTCTTAATGGTGGAAAACCAAAAGCCTTTGCTTTAAGATCTGGAACAAGACAAGGATGTCCACTCTCGCAACTACTATTCAACATAGATTGGAAGGCCAAGCTACGGCAATTAAGCCAGGGAAAGATATGAAAGGAATCCAAATTGGAAAGAAGTAAAGCTGTCACAATTTGCAGATGACATGATAATATGTTGAGAACCCTTAAAAATACATAGAAAAACTGAATGAAACAATAAACCAGTTCAATAAAGTAGAAAGTTAAAAAAATCAATACACAAAAATCAGTTTCCTTCCTATATGTAAACAATCAACCTGAAGAGAAAGAAATTAAGAAAACCATCCCATTTATAATCATACCAAAAGAAAATTTTAATAACTGGCAATAACAAAAGAGTTGAAGGACCTATGCAAGGAAAATTACAAAACATCATTAAAAGAAATAGAAGACAAAAAGAATGGGAAGCTACTGCATGTTCCTTGTCTGGAAGAATACACATTATCAAAATGGCCATTCTACTCAAAGTAATTAACAGATTCAATGAAATCCCAATAAAAATCCCAATGGTATTCTTCAAATAAATGGAAATTATATTGCTGAAATTCATATGGAATCATAAACGGCCCTGAACAGCCAAAGCTTTCCCATCTAAAAAACAGATGACTGGATAAAGAAGATGTGGTACATATACACAATAGAATATTACTTAGCAATAAAAAAACATAAACTCATGCAATTTGCAGTAACGTGGATGGAGATGGCTCAGCGAAATAAGCGAAATAAGCATGGTACTAGAACAAAAACAGACACACAGACTGATGGAATAAAACTGAGATTTCAGAAATAAAATTACACATATTTGGACAACTAATCTATGACAAAGGAACAAAGAATATATGCTGAAACAGGGAAAGTTTCTACAAAAAGTGGTCCTTGGAAAATTGGACTGCGCAGCTCTCAAGTCAGCAATGTCATCAACTACCACAAGCCATCTTGGACACCAACCCCAGTTGCTGTTGAGTCCTCAGCCCCAGCTGCCATTTGACTACAAATGTATTAGAGATGCCCAGTAAGAGTTGCCCAGCTGAGTCGAACTATGGAACTAAATATTTATTATTTTAAGCCACTATATTTTAGGATGAGTTGTTACATAGAAACGGATAACTGGAATATGTTCTCAATCACTTGCTATTTTTTTAATTTTATATATTTTTACATCATTTTTCATACATTGTGCAAGTTTTAGATGGGAAAGCTTGGTTATAGTGCCCCTACAATTCCCACCCCCTTGTTTTGATCCTACTCCCTTCTCTCTCCTCACCCTCCATAGTGTGTCTCTGGTTTACAGCTGCTTGTTGATTTTGATTTTTAATTTATTATAGTCTTTTTCCTGCTCTCTTATTTAGGTTTTCTAAATTCCTACTATGAGTGAGACAATCCAGTATTTTTCTTTTTCTTTCTGGCTTATTTCGCTGAGCATGATCCCTTCCATTTCTATTCATGTTGCTGCAAATTGCATGAGTTTGTCTTTTTTGATTGTTGAGTAATATTCCATTGTGTATATATACCACATCTTCTTGATCTAGTCATCTATTTTTGGGCATTTGGGTTGTTTCCATAGCTTAGCTATTGTAAATAGTGCTGCTATAAACATAGGGGTGCAGGTGTCCTTTTGAATTAATGTTTCTGTGTCCTTTGGGTAAATACCTAGAAGTGGAATTGCTGGATCAAAAGGAAGCTCCATCTTTAGTAGGTTGAGGAATCTCCACACAGCTTTCCATAGTTTTTGGACCAGTTTGTACAACCACCAGCAGTGCAGGAGAGTTCCTTTTTCTCCACATCTTCGCCAACATTTGTTGTTGCTAGTTTTTTTTTTTTTAATAAATGTTTTTCTTTTTTTTTTTTAATAGATTTATTTATTTATTTATACAAGCACTGGGTAGTCAGAAGCACTGGAGGGTGAGAGAATTCACTAGAGCCAAAGCGGGGAACAGAACAGGCAGACTGACGAAATACACTGCTGAGGGGAGCAGTGGGTGCAGCAGGAGAGGCCTGCAGCACCATGTGGGACCCTTGCTGGCGGCTGGGGATCAAACTGGTGCTGCAGAGGCTGCGGGCAGCTTCACAGCCCAGCACTCAACCGCTGCACCACCAGGGGAGGCCCTGTTGCTAGTTTTTTTAATATGTGTCATTCACTGGTGTAAGATGGTATCTCATTGCAGTTTTGATTTGCATTTCCCTGATTACATCACTTGCTATTTTTAATATCTTCATATATCGCTTAGTACAATGCCATCGTGGTCATGATTGTTATTTGCTATTTTTGCTTATTTTGCAAGAACAGCAGGGTGATTTGTTAAAACATTGCAACAATGAGACTAAATTACCACTCTCCAATTTAATTGAGAAAAAAAAACGTTTTTTCATAATTGACAAGTTGTGTGTCAGAGCACAGGCCCAGAAGAGTTTACCTGTCCTCGAGGTGCCTGGATGGGAAAATAGCTGTTGAAGATGGAACTATGATTCCCAACTCACGGTAGACAGACAATATTAAGAAGTGAGGGATACTCAGTTTTGTTGCACCCTGGACCCAAATTCAAGTTAGTAAATTTTAGCATGATTTAGCAAAAAACAACCAAATTCTAGAACTTGCATATTTATTCCTCAAGTAAATACTGTCCAACTCTCATTCCAAGGAGATGGATTTATCAGAACCATGCCTCCAGTCTCCTGCCAGGTAACCTGGCATTAAATTCATTCTTTTCTCAAAGCTGGTGGCATGGATTTTTGGTTTCTGTGCCATCCATGGCACAGAAGCATACATTTTTTAAAAAATGGTATCATAAAATATTTCCTATGACTTTAAAACCGATTAATGTTTTAAAATTCATGTATATTTTGAATATAGCTTTGGTTTATTTATTTTTATTACTATTCTGTGTTAATATTCCAAAATTTATCCAGTCTCTTATTAATGAACATTCAGACTACTTTCATATAATTACTAGCATCAATATTGCTAAGACTTTCTTTATAGAGTTCTCTCTTGGTGTTTATCTGCAATTATTTATCTAACATATACACATAGGAGTGAAACTTCTATGTTCTATGACGCGCACATGTTTAACCTTGCAAGATGTCAATTACCTATACCAGGTAACTACCTGATGTAATCTACCTAGTAGATTATTATGCCAGTTATTTCCTATATATTCCAAAACTCAGTATTGACGCCTTCATTTTTTGCTCATATGTACTTACAAAATTGTACCTGTGGTACCAATTTGCATTTTTTGTTATTTTTTTTTTTGCAGTCCGTGTTCCCTCTTTTGCGAAATAAGTAGGCATGTGTACAGACCACTTCTCTTGAGTAGTCTTTTTAATTGATATATAAAATTTAAATTTCTAGGTGGTAACAGTCTATCGGGCATTTTGTGGAAGAACCTCTTATTTTGTCCTGACTTTTCACTTTCTTTTTGATTTATTTGGTAAGTTGAAGTAATTTATATTAATATGAGCATTAAAAAAACTTACATAGCTTATTTGTGTTCTGCTTAAAAAGTCCTTCCCTATATGGAGGTCATAAATGATGTGTGAAGAAAATCACCATGAAGAGACATTGGGGTCACTGGGGGTAAAAAGAATTTTACCAGAATGTATGAAGAATAGAAAAGGCAGATTTATTGAATTACAAAGGTAAGCAGGGGAATAGAAGGGTGCATCAGCAATTTCATCTGCACTGGGAGGTAAGCTTCAAAAAATTCTTATACTCTCAACTTGAGGGTTGTCTCTAAGATTTAGGACCCAGGTCTGTGCTGGGTGTTACCTGTTGGGGTCCCAGTTAGAATCAGTCCCTGCATTCCTTTAAAATTTAGTTAGCCCTTACTGGCCCAGATGGGATTTATAGCTTGGCTCCAATCATTTTTGGTCCTCTTATCTGCTCAAGGTTTTTTCTTCTGGGTTCTTCTGTGTAATCTTCAGTTCCCCTTATCTGTTTGAAACTCCTTATCCTTGTCTGCAAGACATAGAGACCAAGTTTTTTAACCCTATAACCCCCAATAAATTTACTCTTTATTCCTCTAAAGGTCATCACGTTCCCTTGCATCTAATTTTTGTTATGGTGAGGGTAGCCATCCAATTATTTCTCATTGTGGATATATCATCGGTATTCTTTACAGCCACTGTTAAGAGTGTTTTTTCACTATACTAGCTGTCATGAATATTTACATTTTAACCATTTTACCAGGTTTTCAGTAGACTCCCTTTTACTGGGTCAAGGAAATTCCTTTCTACTGCTGTTTGGCTGAGTTTTTATCACACGTGATTGCTGAGTATTTTGTTATTTGAGATGAGAATATGGATTTCTCATCTTTAATGTGTTGATAAGAAGCACAGTATCTGTGCCTAATATTAAATAGTTGGGCCATGATACTGAAAGGTGTACATTTACCATGACTAGCTATGATTAGGTACTTTCAGGTTACAATTGCCAGTGCTATGTTTAGGTATGTCACATTTTTGTTCATGGATCTCGGCCAGCTAGTTTTCCTTTCTTGTACTTTCCTTGTCTCATTTTGGTACTGGGCTATTTAGAATCATTGTGCTTTACACATTACCTCCTTTGAAAGATCTTGCATAAAACTTAAACCATCTGTTACTTGCAAGTTTTGATTGACTTCACCTTAAAAGTAACTGAATCCAGGGCCTCCCCTGGTGGCGCAGCGGTTGAGCACTGGGCTGCAAAGCTGTCTGCAGCCTCTGCAGCGCCGGTTTGATCCCTGGCTGCATGTGAGGGTCCCACATGGTGCACCCACTGCTCCCCTCAGTGGTGTTTCATCGGTCTGCCTGTTCTGTTCCCCGCTCTGGCTCTGGTGAATTCTCTTGCCCTCCCGTGCTTCTGACTGTACCCAGTGCTTGTATAAATAAATAAATAAATAAATAAATCTTTTTTTTTTTTTTTAAAGATTTATTTTATTATTTATACAAGCACTGGGTATAGTCAGAATCGAGGGAGGGTGAGAGGATTCACCAGAGCCAGAGTGGGGAGCAGAGCAGGCAGAAGGACCGAAGTACACTGCTGAGGGGAGCAGCGGGCAGCAGGAGGGGTCTGCGCGCCATGTGGGACCCTCCTCCAGTGGCCGGGGAGCAGCCGGGGATCGAACCGGCGCCGCGGAGGCCTCGGGCAGCTTCGCAACCCTGTGCTCAACCAAAAAAAAAAAAAAAAGTAACTGAATCCAGTATATTGTATGATTTTATTCAAAATTTTTTGACTATTGATGCTTGGGGAATGCTATCATCTTAATTTCTGTGTCTATCCAAAATTCATGGTGATATCCTAACCGCAAAGGTGATGGTATGTGGGATCTGTGGAAGATGACTGTCATGAGGGCCCTTATAAAATAGGCCCCAGAGAGATGCCTCATTTCCTTCTGCCTTGTGAGGACACAGTGAGAAGACACCAGAAATGAACCAGGGTTTGAAAGACCACCACCACGTTGGTGTTTTGGTCTTGGACTTCCCAGCCTTCAGAATACTGAGAAATAAATTTCTGTTGTTTGTAAGCTCCACAGTCTATGGCATTTTGCTAGAGCAACCGAAATGGACTAAGACCTGTTTAATTAGGAAATTTCCCACCTCCAGTAACAAAATTAAAAATCATTGTGTGGCATTGTGTTATCATTAAATGTAAACTTGGATGGTTGACTTTTCTTCTTGTAATGCCATTGTCTGACTTAAGCATTAACACAAGGTTTCCTCCTCACAGGGGGTTAGGTGGAATGAACATTGCCAGCCACATGACTAGCTAAGAGGTAGGCTATCTCCCTTCACTACAACACTTTTCTTCCTTTTTTACAGATTCTGGCTGATATAGAACCAACTAGGATTCCCCCCCTCACCCCTGCCTCCACCTCTTTTGTGTATCCGCCCATGCTTTCAAATGTCTAGTTTTAAATTCATCAATAGAGCTTACAAAACCCTGTAACCCCCTACCCTCAACCCCAGTAAAAGCAGGACTCAGCTTAAGCTTTCTCTCCCTATGGCCTCCCTGTGGCCATTTAGCGCACAGCATTAGGCATTTAGCGCAGGGAGGGCAACACCTAAAGAAAATTAAATGGCCAACTACACCCAGGAACACTTGCTAAAGCTAATAAAGCACGGGGAGTGCCAAGAACAGCCCGGAGGGGTGAAAGGCAGCCCCACCCTTGCCTATAGGCAAGCTGATAAAGCACAAGAGGCATGGCGGGGGGCAGGGGGTGGATGAGGAAAATGTGCCTCCTCAAAATTGGCAGGTCTTATTTCCTCTCCCTCCTAAGGGAAGGGCAAAGCTGGTTAACACCATGGCAATTCTGGCCTAATGCTCGCCCCTGCCCCAAACTGCTTTAGGAGCAGTTTATTAGAGCACAGGATGGGGAGTGACAGAAACTGCAGCCTGGACCAATAAAACACCACCCCAGGAGCACCTATATAGTACACCCCAGGAAGGGATTGCATAAGCAGCTCCCATACCCCTTTTTAAGACAAGAGCACCATTTTCCCTGACAGTTGATCTTCCAAAGGACTCTGCCCATTCAGATACCACTGCCTCTCTCCAAATGGTATTTGCTAATATTCAACAGACATGGCTTGGTATTATTTCATACCAGTCAAGGACTGAGAGACTCCAAAATCCCGTAACCCCAAAACCTGATGACACAGGTGTGTTGTCTGATTTTCAATTTTTATATTTTTTCAGTTTCCTGATGGCTTTTACTGAATGGCACCTTACAATTATAATAACCTCCAAAGACCAACTGAGTTGTCATGTTGATTTGAAAGGGAAAATGTCTACGGGAAACTCACCAGGGCTCAGGTGAGTGCCCCGGGCACTTCAAAGCTGATGGCAGTACTAAAACAATAGCCCAGAAAGTTTGCTTCTCACAAACCTGAAACCTGATAATCCCAGGAGACAAAAACACTGTAGCTTTGCTAACTCCACTTTTTTTGAAAGTTCCTTGGCAAAAAGAAACTCATACCCTTCATTAAGCACTTGCCTAATAATAAACTTAGCAACGCTAGATGATGATGTACAGTTCATAATTTTAAATTTTACTTGTGAAAAATTTGCTCAATTTTGCTCAAATTATTGTCATTCTAGAAATTCTGAAATGGGTTAAATAACTTGTTGAAGCACACCAACAGTCCATTTGGCAAAGGAAAAACATCTGAACTGAGAACCTGAATTTTTCTGTGTATTGGCCTTCATAGTGTGGGAAGGAATAAGCATATCTGAAGGAGGAGAAGGAGAACTGTAAGGGTTAAACTCCCACAGTTCATTATACCACAGGATCATCTTGAGTGCTCAAAGAAGTAGGTGCAACTTGGGAGCCATGAGTTGTTCTCCCAGGCAACAGTTAACAACATTTATCACTAAATTAACTTGCAAAAACAACTGTTGTCTCAGCAGTCTTTAATTCTCAACACAGCAAAGGTAAAAACTTTTTAAGAAGAACTGAAATACCATGCATTTTGTGATTTAAAGTGAAGTGACTTTAGATCTGCTACAGTTTAAAATAAACAGGGAGAAAATGGGCAGAACTGTGTACCTGCATACTATACAGAATGATTTTCTTTTCAGAGGCATCTCCTAGAAAGGAAAAGAGAATCTCAGAATTTCAACACTTGCCAAATAAAGAATTTGCTTTAAGCTATAAAAAGAATCTTACTGGCAATGAGGTTGTTATGTTACCTGCTTACCTTTTCCAAAACATTCTCCTTAGAATTATAAACTACTTAAATGTAGTTTCAAAAAATGTATTACTAGATTAACCTGAAATCTGAGACTTATAGCTGCACTTTTACATACATCAATATGCTTTCCCTAGATGCCTATGAAAGCTGGTGACTGTTATATATTATTACCAAAAAAAATACACATATATATAAGTATACTAATCTTTGATCTTACCAAATCTCAATTGTACATTCAGTAATAGCTTAAGAACAGATGAAAAACATTTTACAGAACTTTTGTAGTATTCCTGAAGTTATTCTGTATCATGAAGTCTCTACTATTTGATGAGGTCTAAATTCTGAATTAATAGTTTTGCCATCACTTTCTTCCCAAGATCAGTATTTGACACTCAGTATGGAATGAATTACAACTGGAAGATTTGCCACATGCATTTATAGTTTTTCTCCAGTATGAGTTCTTTGATGATTTATAAGGGATGAGCTCTGACTAAAAGCTTTCCCACATTCATTACATTTATAAGGCTTTTCTCCTGTATGAATTCTTGTATGTGTCATCAAGGATGAACTTTGTCTGAAGGCTTTCCCACATACTTTACAATTAAATGGTTTCTCCCCAGTATGAATTCTCTGGTGCTGAATCAAAGCTGAGCTTTGGTTGAAGGCTTTTCCACAATCATTACATTTATATGGTTTCTCTCCAGTATGAATTTTTCTATGAGTATTAACTGCTGAGTGGGAACTGAAAGCTTTTCCACATTCTTTACAATTATATGGTTTCTCTCCAGTATGGATTCTGTTGTGTATATTAAGCCGTGAAATCCAGGAGAAAGCTTTCCCACATTCATTACATTTGTAGGGTTTTTCTCCAGTATGAATTCTTTGATGCTGTATGAGAGCAGAACTTTGGCTAAAGGCTTTCCCACATTCTTTGCATGCATAAGGCTTCTCACCAGTGTGAATTCTCTGATGTATAATAAGGGCTGAGTGGTAACTGAAAACTTTCCCACACTCATTACAATTAAAGGGTTTCTCTCCAGTATGAATTCTATGGTGTCTACTTAGCCGTGATATTGAAGTAAAGGCTTTCCCACACTGGCTACATTCATATGGTTTCTCTCCGGTATGAATTCTATGGTGCTGAATAAGAGAAGAACACTGGCTAAAGGCTCTTCCACATTCATTACACTTATAGGGCTTTTCTCCAGTATGAATTCGTTGGTGATTATTAAGAGACGAACTACCTTTAAATGTTTTTCCACATTCATCACATTTGTAGGGTCTCTCTCCAGTATGCATTCTCTGATGTCCAATGAGGGATGTAGTGAAACTGAAGGCCTTTCCACATTCACTACATATATAAGGTTTCTCTCCAGTATGAACTCTCAGGTGCTGGGTTAGAGATGAACTTTGGCTGAAAGCTTTTCTACATTCCTTACATTTATAGAGTTTCTCTCCAGTATGGATTCTCTGATGCTTACTCAGGGAAGAACTGTGGAGGAAGACTTTCCCACAGATATTACACTTATAGCACTTACGTACTGCATCAACCCCTAGTTGTTCAAGCAGAATTGAAAACTGTTGTGAATGGGGTTTCCGTCCTCTGGAAACAATTCTGGGTTTTCTAATAAGTGATGATTTTAAACCAGTATTTTTCCCAAGTTCAATATCTGTAAAACTCTTCTCTTTGATGAAGGTTTTTTTGATAGTAACTAGTATTTTCTTGAAAGGTTTGTTCTTTTTGCCTTGTTGCCTCTTTAGTTTGTCATTTATGTAGGCTTTTCCCAACTTGAAGTCAAAAAGACTGTCACCTATGAGTTTATTCATTATTTTCTGATTTTCATCTTTGGAAACTGTAGTTTCAAAGAGGTGCTCCCACTCTAAAATAAACAAAACATGTAAGTCTCTCTTTCACTGGAAACAAAGAAAAGTGATATTAACATATATGTGGATAGCTAATAAGTATGTCCTTGGAGTCTTAGGAAAAGATAAACAGGATGGAAGATACTCCTGGGTGGGAATGATCTGAAGAAACCTATATGTAGGTTTGCTGAGGAACTCAGAGGAACTCCTCCAATCAAAGCAGGTGGCAGGCCTTGTCTAGTAACATCACAGTTCAATAAAGTAAAGCACATTAGGACATCAGCAACTTGTGTTATTCTTCAGCTTAGTATCCCCGATCAGCTACCAGTGCATTCAAGGTAAAGCCAAGAAACTGCAGAGAAGCTATAATTAAAAAGTGGAAGGGCTACTGCCCTAAAACATTTTTGAAAAATATCCTCAACTAGTGCTGGCTTGGGATGGGACTCACTTTAGAGCTATAAGTAATGTGGTAAACATTCACTGACTCACTCACAATATTTACTAAGTACCAACCATGTATCAAGCAAATGTCGAGGCTTGGATTACAGGGAACCAGTCAGAGAATAGTCAAATTTTTACAAATTTTACATTTTACTAGTAGGATGTTGACAATGGCCAAGTAACCAAATTAAAGGAAGTTCTACAGAATGATGACTAAGAAAAAGAAGCAGTAATGTCTAATAAGACTGAACAAGTTTATATATTAAACTGGGATCATGAGGAGTAAATAAAGGCAAGATCTAAATAAGAGCAAGCCATATAAAAATGTGGGTGCAAGATGATTCTAGTTAGAAAGGACAGATAACTCAAAGGAATATGCTTTGGGTAATCTAGGAACATAAAGTAGTTAAGTGTGGCCTAAGCAAGAGGGAAAAAGGGGGCAGTACTACAAGGAAAGGAGAGAAGTAGGCAATAGTCATACCAAGTATAAGAGTCTAAGCTATAGAAAAGTGTCTGGAAATTTTTTAAGGATCACTGGGAATTATAAGGAATAAGATTAGTAAAATTTGTTGAAAAAGGATCATTGTGGTTGTGCAAAAATGGACTGTAAAGGGATGGAGGTAAAGAAAACAAGGTAGATGCAAAGCAGCCTATTTGGGAGGCTGGGCAATGGTCCTGGAATCAGATGGCATTTGCACTGGCATAGTAGTGGAGGTGGGAACATTAGGCTATTTGGGAGGTAGAGACGACAAGTATCTTTACCTATGAACAGAGTAAGTGAAAAAGAGGACTCAAGGATCACAGCTAATTTTTGTCTTAGGTGGCGTGATGGAGATTAGTGCCACATTATGATATGGATAATAATGGGAGAAGAGTATATTCTTGAGAATATTTTTTGCCCACTTTTTTGGTCATTTAGGTTACAGCACAAGAAATTGAATAACTGATTCAAAAGGAATAAATATATTTTATCAAATAGCATTTGCTTTCATAATAAAAAAAACTATGAAATGAAAACAGAGATCACCATGAATATATGAGACAAATATAATTGCTGTTAAATATAGTTTAGCTCACCAGAATTTTTCCATATATAAAAAACCATTTACTTAAAAAATGAGTTACAATTAAGCTTTCCTCTTGCTGCCTCCTCACTTAAAAAAAAAGTAGGCGTCTCTCATGTCAGTAACTATAGGTTGACACCACCATTTCAATGACTGTATTATATACCAATGCATAAACATACAATTAAAAAAATCCCCCACTGAGTCATTTAACTATCTTTCCTCCCATTAATATTTCATGCAATGAAAAATACACATTTACCCCATACTTGCATTTTTCAACAATTATGGAATTATTTTCTTAAGATAAATTTATATGGTTGAAGGATGATTTTAATAAAGCCATACCATCCTACAGAAAGATTATGCCAGTCAAAATCCTTCTAAAGATATTGCTTATCACTCAGAGTAGCAGAAAAACACTGGATCTGTATTTCCTAATCTTTGGTAAGTTAAAAAGGAAGAAATGGTATCTCATTTCTAGTTTGAATTTCACTAATTATAATGAAGATGAATAGTTTTATAAAAATTCTGTGTGAATTTTCAATTTACAATACTCACCTTCTGTATCATAGTAAACAAAGTTTTGTAATTATTTACCTTCTGAATCTTTTCACTTTATACTATTCATTTATGTTCTATAGCCTAAGCAATAATATTAATTGGAAAAACTGGAAAGTAAAATTTCAAAAACAAATTGCTTAATGAAATGTGATTATATTATACTTACTTAATAGTTGTGATGATCTTTCAATGGCACAGACCTCTATTTAATGAAGGCTGTATCAATGAAGGACATCACAGTTTAAAAAAAGGCTTGAGAACAGTATGTATAGTCAAACACTGTTTCTTTCTCTCTCTGCATGAGTCTGCCCATCATATAAAAGTATACTGAAATATTCATAGTCTAATGGGATAAATGTAAATATATTTTTTTTTATAGAGGCATGTTTTATTTATTTATTTGTTTGTTTGTTTGTTTTGTTTATACAAGCACTGGGTACAGTCAGAAGCGCGGGAGGGTGAGAGAATTCACCAAAGCCAGAGCAGGGAGCAGAGCAGGCAGAAGGACCGAAGTACACTGCTGAGGGGAGCAGCGGGCGGCAGGAGAGGTCTGCACGCCATGTGGGACCCTCCTCCGGTGGCCGGGGAGCAGCCGGGGATCGAACTGGCACCGCAGAGGCCGCGGGCAGCTTAGCAACCCAGCGCTCAACTGCTGCGCCACCGGGGAGGCCCATAAATGTAAATATATTAACAAAGGTTTACGATGGTAAAATTTCAGGTAAATCTCCTTTATTTTCTATGCTGTCTCTTTTTTACAATACCATGTGTACTGTGTACAAATTTAAAATAATTTTTAACTGCTTGCACAGTCAATTTGATAATAAGGATTTCCCTGCTAACCAAACAGTATATTGCTTAATAGCTAGTAAGTAAGAGGGGAATTTAAAATGAAATAAAAAAATACCTTGTGACTAATGGAAATGAAGATACAAGTTACCAGAATTTATCGGATGCTGCAAAAGCAGTCTTAAGGGAGAAGGCAATTGCCATACAGGCCTACATTAAAAAAAAAAAAAAAAAAAAGAAAAATCGCAAACAATTTATTATTGTACCTAAAACAATAATAAATATAAGACTGAAATAAATGGTGCTCAAAAGAACTATATAAAAGATCACTGAAGCAAAAGTTGATTCTTTGAGAGGATAAAACAGACACATCTCTAGCTAGGCTAACAGAGAAAACATTAATAAAGAGAAGTTAGATATGAAACAGAAAAATTACCACATAGCACAGAAATACAAACGATTATAAGAGATCACTACAAAACCTAATATGCCAATGGACTTGATAACATTCAAGAAATGGGCAAATTTTTAGATCTATATAATTTGCCAAGACTAAACCAGGAAGAAACAGAAGAGTTGAACAAACCAATCACAAGCATGGAAACTGAAATAGCAATATAAAATCCTTTCAAAAAACAAAAACCTGGGAATAGACAGCTTTACAATCGAATTTTTTTTTTAAAGATTTACTTATTTATTTATACAAGCACTGGGTACAGTCAGAAACACGGTGAGAGAATTCACTAGAGCCAGGGCGGGGAACAGAACAGGCAGACCAACAAAATACACTGCTGAGGGGAGAGCGGGCACGGCAGGAGAGGTGTGCGCACCATGTGGGACCCTCGCCGGTGGCTGGGGATCGAACCGGCACTGCAGAGGCTGCTGGCAGCTTCACAGCCCAGCGCTCAACTGATTCACCACCAGGGGAGGCCCGACAATTGAATTTTATCAAGTTTCAAAGAAGAACTAATACCCAACTTGCTCCAAGTGTTTTTAAAATTAAGAAAAAAAATGGTGTTCCATAATACATTTTGTGATGTCAACAAGACTCTAATACTAAAAACCAGATAAAGACAGGACAGGAAATCTACAAACCAATATCCCTGATGACTACTGATGGAAAAATCTTCAACAAAATACTACCAAATTGAATTCAACAATACTTACAAGGGTTCTACATCATGATCAAGTGGGATTTACTTCAGAAGCAAAAATGATTTAATATACATAAATCAATGTAATACATCACATCAACAAAAATAAAGATAAAAATTGTTAATATCCACAGAAGCAGAGAAAGCATTTAATAAAACTAACCCCAATAAGTGGGAATAAGAGGATCCTACCTTAATATAATAAAAGTCATACATCACAAACCTAATCAATATAATACTTAATAGAGAAAAACCTAAAGCTTTCCTCTTAAGATCAAGAGTAAGACAAGGGTGACCATGTCACTTCTGTTTAATTAGAGATATGTTATTAGGTATGTTTAATTAGAGGCATGTTAATAATAACATACAATTAGAGATTATGTTATTAGCTACAGCTTTCAGATAAACAGAAATAAAGGAACTCCAAATCAGAAAAGAAGGGAAATAATCACTATTCACAGATGTGATCTTATATATAGAAAACCCTAAAAATAAAATCAAAAGGTTATGAGAATACAATAAACAAATACAACAATGTGGCAAATTACACACAACATCAACATACAAAAATCCATAGCATTTTTATATACAATGAATGAGAAGAAAAAGAAATCAAGAAAGTATCTCCATTTACTATTGCCTCAAAAAGGGTCAAATACATCAGAATTAACCTAAGAAGGTGAAAGAGCTATACAATGAGATTTACAAGATGTTATTAAATGAATTAAATAGTGATGACATGAGGTGATGAATGATAGCCTATGCTCACAGATGTGGAGAATCAATATAACCCAAATTACTATCCTGGCTAAAGTGATACATAAATTTAATACAATCCCCATCAAAATACGCACAATATTTTACAATGAAACTGAACAAAAATTAGTGAAATTCATATGGAACCATAAAAGCCTTCAAATAGTAAATCCAATCCTTAGAAAAAAGGAAATGGAGGCATCACATTGCCTGACTTCAAACCTCACTATAAAGCAATAGTCTTAAAAACAATATGGTACTGGCACAAAAAATAGATACATAGATCAATGGAAGAGAACCAAAGTCCACAAATAAATCCATATACATAGCAGTAACTAACCTATGATAAAGTAGCTACAATAACACAATGAGGAGAGTCTCTTTAATAATGGTGCCAGTAAAACTGGAAGGCTACACATGAATGAAGTTGGAACACTCTCTAAATTTCATGCACAAAAATAAATTCCAAATGGGTTACAGATTTCGATATAAAACCGAAAATAAAATATATACATGTAAACACTGGCAATATGTTCCATGACATGAATGATAAAGACTGGAGACTTAACCACTATAGCAGAGGAAACAGAAGCAAAATAAACAACTGGAATTACTTTCAGCACATAGCAAAAAGATAACATAAGAAGTTTTAAAAGATATTCTACTTAATGAGAGAAAATATTCATACAATATAAAACTGACAAGGAATTAATACCCACGATAAATAAAAACTTTCACAATTCAACAACAGAAAAACAACCCAATTAATAAATGAGCAAAGATAAGAACAATTCACTAAACAGGACAGCCAGAAGGTCAATAGGTATGAAAAGATGTTCAGCGTTTCTTCCAATGCAAGTTAAAACTACGATGAGATACCATCTCACACCCATGAAAATGGTACATATTGAAAAGATCCCCACTAAATGCTGGAGGAGATGTGGAGAAAGAAAACAAAATTCAAGAGAGCCATCCTCTGGTGTCAGAAGCAGATGAAATTCTAAGCAAACAGATATCACAGCTTATGATGTAGCAATTCACAGAGATCTCAGAGATTTGAGATATCATGTCCTAGCAGTCAATTTTGAAATTTTTCACATAAAAGATTTAGAAAGATGACAGTGTGTGCAAGCCTTCTGCCTAAAATAATTACCATGTTGTTAGTAGTGCTGTCTCTCTCACATCTGTGTATAACACACATACGTATGCTTTTCTCTTGGCTGAACCATGTACATTTCATATAAAAAACATCAAAGCAAAAATCCTAGATGGAATTGAGAAGGATGTATTGGTACTATAGTGATAACAGGTTTGTGCAAACCTCAAAAAGAAAATTATTTAAGAAAATAATCCAGTAACTTCGAGGAAAAAAAGGAGAAGTGATGAATCACAACCCTTTACACATTCATGTTCTGTTATGCTCTATAAGTGCACTCAAATTACAAGGGACATAGGAAAAAGGTACACCACAAAGGGTGAATTCAGTTCTCCCTCTGAACCTGATGTACTCAGTAGTCTAAAAGATAGAGAGAGGCTACGCCCTTTCTAGCATTTCCCACCTGGCCTAATCAGTGCCAGCTGGTTAGAAAATGCTGTGCCCATACGCCAATGACTGTCACTCACCTAGACATGCACCTTGAGGAACTCCATTTTCCACCATGCAAGGATCTTCCCCTTGCTGTAGCTGGAAGATAATCTTTGGTTTGGAAAACAGAATTCCTGTTCAAGGACAAGAAAAAGAAAGTAAGTCTGCAGCACAGACATGAGTGGCCATTCTGACACACAGATCCAGCCAAGTGTTGGGGCAGTGGGACTGCTGAAGGGAAGAGAAAGGTTTGTTCTGAGAGGTACTTAAAACTGGGTTTTCAGAGAATGACCAGGACGTGTCTCAGGAAGTAATTGAGGGCTCTGGTTGGCATTCCTCTAACCTGGAACCTCTTGTGAGACCCAGGAGGACAGAGCTCAAGAGTCAGAAGATGGGAAAGGGATAGAAAAGACTGCCATTATCCAATCCAAAAGCCAAGACCACCCCCAACAGCTGAGAACAGCAACTGCCTCTCTCCCAGCCCACCTGCAGGCTGCACCTCGGCAAGCTCCCACAGCAGAGTCTCATCACAAAGAAAAAGTCTCACCCAGGGAGATCAGGGTGCTGTAGTTCTCTAGCATCACCTCCCGGTACAAGGTTCTCTGTGCAGAATTCAGGCACAGCCACTCATCCTGGCTGAAGAACACCGCCACATCCCTGAATGTCACCGACTCCTGTTAACAGCAAACCCATTCTTACTCATTCTGGACCATCCCCACACTAGATGCCTGTGCAGTAACCTTGTCACCACACACGGTCCTAAGCGCTTCCTGTTCAGTGCTGAATACATTCTGTACCCTCAGAAAGGTTAACCATAGCAGCCACAGAGGAAAAGCACTTGAAATTAAATCCAAACGACAGACTTTTAGATTTGAAAATGTGCAATCACCTAGACCAAATTCCCAGCGTACAGGTGAAACATGACAATGAGGTTATAGGCGGTTCTCAGCACTCGTATCCAGAAAGAAATAAGTAAGTGTCATCACTGTGTCCTAAGGGAAAGACACTGGCATTCATAGTAGGCAAAGCTCTCAGAATGTAGCGGGCATAGCTGCAGAACCATTCTCGCAAGAGTCAGGTGAAAAGGCTGGGGCTGGGATTCTCCCTCTCTACCCCAGAAGATTTGTTCCTCCATGTGGTTCTTTCCCACTTCACTGCATTACAACATACCTCTCTGAGCCTAGTGGTCCCTTTCTCTTACTATTAAGAATCCTTTCTTTGTAAAGCAAACCAGAAAAGACCAGCAAGCAAAAAAAAAGTTAATTTAACTTTCTACCACCAGAAACAAGTTTTATTCTTGATATAAGCCCTTCCAGAATTTTTATATACTAATATGGTTTTAGACTTTTTAAAAGAAGAAATGTCAAAAGATAACTATCCCACTTGTAAGGGAGCAAAATTTGCTACCCCATAATGTCTTTGGCATAAGGGTTATTTTGGGCTGATTATTTTTAAGAAAAGACAGGCTCAGAAGCTTTTCCTTATCTCTCCCTAAACTCCTAAAAGATGTAGATGGGACATGTTGCAGGAAAAGAATTATCATTAGAGATAACTGCACAGCATTTTCAGTGGGTATGGGAGGCTAGGGGAAATGAGCAAGGCCTGTTCCCTCTCTGTGTTACTCTGTTTCTGCACAGCATGGCAAACATTGAGGAAACATTTGCTTTTCCCATTTTCCTGTCAACTGACTTCCCTACCTTTGAAGTTCTGATTACCACCTATTTCTTCCTAGCTCAGGATGACATATAAAAACCAATTGCCAGACAGTTAAAGATCCTCATGTCTTTCTGCAGTTCCCATTCATACAAAATTAAATTTGTTTCTCCCTCAGTTTGACTTAAGTCAATTTAATTATTACAAGCCAAAAGAACCAAGAAGGAAAAATTTTCCTACCCTCAATTCTGCCATAGTTGGCAGGGCTTTCACTGGCTGGACACTGCTTCCTCCAAGACAGCTGTACCTAAATCCTGGGACTTCTGACAAGACCTGGCAGAAGGTGAGAATTTTTTTTTTTTAAAGATTTATTTATTTATACAAGTACTGGGGTACAGGTCAGAGGTGCAGGACGGTGAGAGAATTCACCAGAGACAGAGCAGGGAGCAGAACAGGCAGAAGGATCAAAAACACTGCTGAGGGGAGCAGCAGGCGAGACAGGAGAGGTCTGCTGTGCCATGTGGGTATCTCCCTGGCCGGCTGGGACACTGACCAGTGCTGCAGAGGCTGCAGACAGCTTCACAACCCGCTGCGCCACCAGGGAGGTCCGTAGGGTGAGAATTCTTATCACCTTTGCCTCCAATCCAGTGGAAGTAAGGATGGTTAAAATAAGTTTTAGACAAGCCAAAGAAGGAAAATTCTTCCTCTCCTAAACAATGAACATTTTTTTCATGCTACCCAGTATCTCACTGTATGGATAAATCAGTTGATTTAATCAACTCATGGACATTTAGGTGGCTTCCACTTTTGTAACTCTAAAAATGCTGGACTGAACATTTCCACATCATCATCAAAAAAGTGTGCAAAATTTATTTTTTTATCTATTGTGTGACTAACTCATCACCTCACTGCAAATTGTGAAACTTCAATGGATTCACTTAGCTTTGTAAGAGTGAGCTTTCTGTCTTTGCAGGATTTTTCTGTGGTCCACACTGCATTCTGGTTTAACATTTATTCATAAATAAATGAATTTAGGCATTTTGAGCTATGATAATTCTATTTGTCTTCTATCTTTGTGGAGAGGTTTTCTGGGCTGGGATGAGACTAAATTTTCAAATTATTACCCCAGGTGCTAGGACAAGCAAAGGAGGAAGAGATCACTCCGGATGAGATGCTTCCCACCTCAGGGAAAACTTCCTACCACATTTGCCCAAGTTGCAACTTCTTTTCCTTTCGCTATCAATATAAGCTCTATACTGTTTTTGAATCTAGACTGGTCCACTACTAGGAAGTATCCCTGACTGTATCTGCTTACTCAAAGGTCTTTTCTTTTAGATTTTTAGAAAATGAGCTGGACCCTTGCCAAGTTCTATACCCACTGACTGGCCCTCAGTTTCTTGAAGGCAAAGACCAGGCCTCAGGGAATCCTGCCTGTTTCTGTAGAAGAATTATTCCACTATTCTATGTCACCACCCTCCAGAGGGCAAAAACTAACCAAGATCTATCACAAAGTTCTGGGTGTGGCAATGGCAATGAGTTGGGGCCTATTCAATTCCTAGTCCACAGTACTTAAGTTTAAGTAGAGAGACTGGTTCTGAAATGAGGAAAACGCCTTCCTTCTAGAGCTCCTCACCTGAAATAAATTATTTATTTATACTGAAAGAAGCAAGTTCACTACCTCTAAACCAAAAGGCAGTTCAAGAAAGGCTTTACTCACCTGTGCCTGGACTGACAGCAACCTTGCGGCCATCTCCCCTTCCCCACTGGCCCTCCTGGACAAGGTAGCTGAAAGAGAAAAATAAGCTGTGAAGTCTCTCCATCCTGTTTGCCCTTCCTCCCTTACTAGGTGTAAGGAAAGTGAGTTAAAATCGGGCAACTTTCCCCTTCCACACAAGAGACAGCCCAAAACCTTGAAATGCTGTTTTCCACCAAGCTATACAGCAAACAACCCATGGGCCGTGTGTTTACAACAGATGTGTTGTGTGGCTAGCCGCACCTAACAATGTAAAAGTGACTAAGCAGTTGAGCTGCTGGTCTGCCTCTCTGAGTTGGAATCTCCAGCAGTTTCCCTCTGCCTATGTATACTGTCCCCCGTTTTGATATGAAAAGCCTGCAAAAGCCACCCAAGACTCCAAATTCTGTTCATCTGTGAGAACTGACAATGAACCTAGGCAGCCTAGGATGGCTGCACAACATGAGGGATAACACATTCTAAATACCCTGCAGAGGGTAGCCAGTGGTTGGAACCCAGGAATCTCCTGTCCAAACCAGGAGTGGGCAGTGTTGGGACCAAAAAAAGCTTGCCCTAAGGTGTGCTTAAGTGGCACGCTTATTTTTTTGAATTGAGGGAAACTGGGAGATAAGATCCAGGAAAGATGTTTTGCCTAATTATCTCCCTAAAAACAGGAAATCTCTGGGAGGAGTGAGACAGTCTTACAACTTCTTGCCCAACAGCAACAACCGTACTTCCAGTCATAGGGCCTCTACCTTTCAGCCAGCAGTTTAGAAATAAAGATGACTCTAAGGGATTAGAACCATGTAGTGTGCATTAACAGAGTAAAAGGCAATCAGGCCAGGCTCACAGAGCTGCTAAATTAATAAATGGCATAAATACTTCATACACCTGAATGTAGGCATTTTGAGCTGTAGTAATTATAATATTTGAAAAATTGGAAGAGACATCCAATTCCTGTAAGGACAGTTATCAAAACTTTCTAAATGTAAAAGGAAGTATTACCTACTCAACTTCCTTTCCCCATAATCCCCTAAAAACCCAAGACTCAAGAGAACAGCGTCAGTAGTTAGAAATGAACTTAAAATCTCGACAAAGAGGAATAACTAAGCAAGTAGACAAAAGTAAGCTAAAAAAGAATATACTGAAATCATTCTAGGTTTCACTTTTGGAAAACAATGCCAAACAAGCCAGGCTCAGGAAAAAAATGATAAACACAAAGCTGCAACACGGGGTACGGTATAGGGGTCAGAGAGGGAGCAACAACAAACAGCACAGGCCAAAATCCGCCCTAGGGCTCACGAACCCTGAAACAAGGCACCGCTCGCTGCGATCCGCAGGCGGGGGTCATCTCGCCGGGCGCGGGCCCAAAGCTGAAGCCCCGCTTTCAGGCGGGCGCAGCTCCGACTTCCGGCCTCCGGGGACGACGCGGGGGCGGGGCCTCTCAGGCGACGCCCCCTCCCGCCTGCGCGCACCTGCCGAGGCCGCGGGGGGCTGCCCCCGCCCCCGGCCCGCCCGCCCCGGAGCCGCACACCCCTGGGCCCGTTTCCACCCGCAGCCTCTACCTGGGCCCGTCGCCACGAGCGCGCCAGGCGGCGCGGACTGCAGAAAGGCTGACCACCTAGTGCAGGGACAGGGATGGTCGCCGCCGCCAGGCTGTCAGGAGCAACTGCGCCCGCGCGCGCGAGAACCCACGGCCCCGCAGCCCAGCGCCCGTGCGCGCTTTTCAAACTCTGTTTCCCAGACGCCGCCGCGCGCGGCCTCTACGGAGCCGGAGAAGGGACAGCAGCGCGAAGGCGCCACGAGCCCACCCGCCGGCGCCGCACAGCCCGCGGCGCGTCTTTCAGCGTCAGCGCTAACCTCCAGAATCATAACAAGACAAGGATGTAACAGTTGTGTCTTTTGTACGCGCTTTTAAGTTCATAATTTTATTACAATGAATGACGCCACTGATGATTCATGATTATAACGGCAATGAAAAGGAAAAGTGAACAGGTATCCAAAAATGAAGACTGACAGCTACTGCTTCTTGCTTAGCCAGAGCACTGACAGGATCTAGTTCACACATCTTTAAATTTAAAAAATGTCTACACTTATTTAGGTTTTCTAAATTCCTGATATGAGTGAGGCCATCTGGTATTTCTCTTTTTCTTTCTGGCTTATTTCGCTGAGCATGATCCCTTCCAGCTCCATCCACGTTGCTGCAAATTACGTGAGTTTCTGGTTTCTGATTGCTCAGTAATATTCCATTGCGTATATGGACCACATCTTCTTGATCCAGTCATTTATTTTTGGGCATTTGGGTTGTTTCCATAGCTTAGCTATTGTAAATAGTGCTGCTATAAACCTAGAGGTGCAGGTGCCCTTTGGAATTAATGTTTCTGTGTCCTTTGGGTAAATACCTAGCAGTGGAATGGCTGGATCATATGAAACTCTATCTTTAGTAGGTTGGGAAATCTCCACACAACGCTCCACAGTGGTTGGACCAGTTTGCACTCCCACCAGCAGTGCAGGAGAGTTCCTTTTTCTCCACATCCTCGCCAATATTTGTTGTTGCTAGTTTTTTTAATATGTGCCATTCTCCCTGGTGTGAGATGGTATCTCATTGTAGTTTTGATTTGCATTTCCCTGATTACAAGTGATGAACATTTTTTCATATGCCTGTTGGCCATTTGCATTTCCTCTTAGGAGAAATTTCTTTTTAGCTCTTCTGCCTAATTTTTGACTGGGTTATTTACTTTGCTTTTGTTGAGTTTCGTCAGCTCTTTGTAGATTTTTGTGATCAGTCCTTTATCATGAGTGTTGTGTGCAAAAATTTTCTCCCAGTCGGTGGGGTGTCTCTCTGTTTTGGTTATTGTCTCTTTTGCTGTACAGACTCTTTAATTTGATGTAGCCCCAGTTGTTTATCTTTGCCTTCACTATCACTGCTTTGGGTGATGTGACTGTAAAGATGTCACTGAGGTGCATACACGTTGAGGGGTGGAGGGGGGGAAGAAGGGAGTAGAATCAAAACAAGGGGGTGGGAATTGTATGGGGGCTATAACCAAGATGAAAATGCATACATTGTGCAAAAATGAAAAAATATATATATATAATCATAAAAAATGGTCTACACTTTGTAAACTATACAAGATATGCTTTTAACTGACACTCATAGTGGGTAGAAACATAAACCCACTATTTTCCTGACACCTACTACTTCTTTTAAATGATTCCTTTAAATCAAGGAAGCTTGGTAAATAGTGTGAAAAAAATCTGGGGTCACAATGTTAGAGTAAGACAACATAATTTCAATGTAAAAATTATTAAACTGGACAAGATTCATTATGAATTGAACCATCAGGGAACTGCAAAGCAAAACCACAATGAGATACCACTTCATATCTGTTAAGAGGACCTCTATAAGAATGAAACAAAACAATACAGGAAACAAGAAGTGTTTATGAGGTGGTAGGGAAATTGGAATCCTTGTATTTTGCTGGTGGAAATGTAACACACTGCAACCACTGTGGAAAATGACGGTTTCTCAAAAAACAATTTCACTTCTGGGTATATTTCCAAAAGAAGTGAAAGCAAGGACTCAATTATTTCTGTGGTTATTATTGTTCTAATAGTTATTTACATGTTCATGTAACTTTGGTATTACATTTTTCTATTCCATATGTGCACATGATTCAATCCCCTGCCACCAACCCTGTGGTTGCTATTCCCTACCTACCCCTGTTCAGTCTTCCAGCACCCCCCTTCCTCTCTGATAACCATTAAATTTTTCCCTAAATCTGAGATTGGTTTTTGCTGTATTTTGCCTCTGTATGCTTTGTGGTTATTATGTTCCACAGATAAGTGAAACTAAATGATATCTGTCTTTCACTTTCTGACTTAGTTCATTTAGCACAATCATCTCAAGGTCCATCTTTTATTTTGAGAACAGAAAAGGTGAATTTATTGAGAGACACTGCTAAGAGAGGAAAGGTCTGCTGCGCAGGGTCCATCCATTTTGTACCAAAACAAATATGTGAGTAGTATTCCATTGAGGCTAAATATTTTTAATATCTGAGTAGTATTCCATTGAGTATAAATATGTCCCACAATTTCTTTATTATGTCTTCTATCCTTGGGCATTTAAGTTGGTTCCATGCCTTGGAGGTTGTGGGAAATGCTGCCATGAACAAAGGAGTACATAAGTCTTTTTTGTATTAGTGTTTCAAAATTCTTTGGTAAAAACTTGCCAGAGGTATTATTGGGTCATAGGAAATTTCCACATTTATTAGTTGAAGGTCTCTCCATATCGTATTTCACAAAGGCTGCACCAGATTGCATGCCCACCAACAGTGATGAATGTACATTTTTCTCCAGTTCTTGCCAACATTTGACGTGTCCATTCTTTTTGACATAAGCCATTTCCACAGAAGTGAGGTGTTACCTTTTTTTAATTTCCCTTATAATAAGTGATGTTGAGCTATTTTTCATTTGCCTGAGACCATATGAATGATTTTTTAGGAAAAAATACCTATTTGAGACTTTTGCTCATTTTTTCAATTGGATCATGGAGATAGTTCTTGTTGGATTGAGTAAGTATTTTATGTATTTCAGAAATTAGCCCCTTGTCAGACATGTGATGTGCAAATATATTCTCCCAGTTTACCCTTTTGTTTTTGTGATGGTTTCTTTTGAAGAGAATAAGCTTTTAAGTTTGATATAGTCCCACTTATTTAATTTTGCTTTTGTTTCCCTTGTTTTTGGGATGTGTCCACAAATACATCCTTGCAGTTGGTGTCCTGTAGTGTACGCCTATGTTTTCTTTTACATACTTTATGGATTCAGTTCTTATATCCGTTTTATAAGATGGACTTCCATTCAAACTTTAATGCATTTTGAATTAATTTCTGGTGTATGGAGTTAATTATGGAAGTCTTTTTTTTTTTTTTCCCATTTGGTTATCCACACTTCCCAACACCACTTGTAAAAGGTATCATTTCTCCTTTCTCAAAGACTAGCTATTCTTATTTGTGTGGGATAGTTTCTGGCCTTTGTATTCAATTCCATTGGTCTGTTTCTCTTTTTATTCCAAGGCTAAACTGTTAATTACTGGTACTGAATGCTATAGTTTGGAGTCAAGAAGTGTGATACCTGTATTTTTCTTCTTTTCCTTCAGGATTTTTTGGCTGTTCAGGGCCTTCTGTGGTCCCATGCAAATTTTATAGCTGTTTGTATTTCCTGAAATAAAGTCATTGTGATTTTGATAGGTATTACTTTGAAACATTGGATAGCTTTAGGTAATATGGTCGCTTTGATGATGTTTAGTCTTCTAATCAATGAGCAGGGGATTTCTTTCTATTTCTTTGTGTCTTCTTTTATTCACTTTAACAGAGTTTTATAGTTTTCACCTCTTTTGTTAAGTTTACTCCCAGATAAATTCATTCTTTTGGGTGACTTGTATTTTTTTAAATTTCTCTTTATTCTATATAATTTTTTGTTTATATTTAAAAATATGACTGATTTTTATTTATTGTTATGTATCTGCCACTTTCCTGTATGCATTTATTATTCTCAGTAGTTTTGTTGTTGTCTTTTGGACTATATAATTATGTAATCTGCACATAGTGGCAGTTTTACTTTTTTGAAGAGTGTAAGTAGGAGAGATCTTAGGTCCTCTCTTTGAAGGTTTGGTAGGGTTCACTGGAGAAGCCACCTGGTCCTGGCTTTTGTTCTCAGGGTGACTTGATTACTCTTTCAATTTTTGTGCTTGTGATGAATTTATTTAAGCTATTTTGTCCTGCTTCCGTCTTAGAAGGTCATATGAATGTAAAAATGTGTATTTCTTCTAGGTTCTACAGTTTGTTTGTGTAGAGGCTTTCGTAGTAAGTTCGGTTCTTATGATCTTTTGTAGTTCTGTAGCACCTGTTGTAATTTTTGCCTCTCTCATTTCTTTTTTTTCAGCAAGCCTAGCTAAGAGCTTGTCAATTTTGTTTATTTTTTCAGAGAACCTATGTTGATTTCACTGAGATTTTCTTTTTGTTTTTATTCAGATTATGTCTGTTCGGGTAAGGTAGATTTACATCCTTCTGTCTATTTGGGGGGGTTATAGGGTTAAACCTCTACAAATGGATTTTGGGGGGGTTATAGGGTTAAACCTCTACAAATGGATATTTTCACACCCTGTCCACACTGTTCCACTGGACTGCTTATCTTTCTCACTCCCACTCTGTGTTCCCACCCCTCCACCTCTGTTTGCCTCAGTATTATGGTCTGATATTAAGAGTTTGTTGTTGGCTTGATTTTTGACTGACTCTTTGGTAGGTTTCTCTATATTCCACGTATAAATGAGACCATCCAGCATTGTCTTTATCTGACTTATTTTGTTAAGTATTATGCACTCCAGTTCCATCCATGTTATTGCAAATGGTAAAAGTTCATCCTTTTCATGGATTTCATGTGTGCATACATACATGTATACATATACGTAGATACATGGCATGTGTAATACATATGCTACGTCTTCTTTCCCAACTTGTTCTCCATTTGTGTTTTCTCTTGCCTGATTGCTCTAACTAGGAAGTCCAATACTATGTTTAATAATAGTGGTGAAAGTGGACATTTTTGTATTGTACCATATTTTAGAAGAAAAGCTTTCAGTTTATCACCATTCAGAGTGATGTTTGCTTGGGGTTTGTCATATATGACCTTTATTATGTTGCGTAATGTTCCATTCATCTTCAGTTTTTGAAGATTTTTGTCATAAATGGATGCTGAATCTTGTCAAGTGCTTTTGCTACATCTATTGATACATAGGATTTTTTTGTTGAAGTTATGAATTACATAGATTAACTTTCAGATGTTGAACCATCCTGTGTTCTTAGAATAAATTCCATTTAATCATGGTGTATAATCTTTTTGATTAGGTTTGCTAAGATTTTTGCATCTATGGTTATCAGAGAAATTGGTCTATAATTGTCTTTTTCTGTATTTATTTGTCAGGTTTTAGAATTAGAGTGATGTTGGCCTATAAAATGTGTTTGGAAGCTTTCCCTTTTTCTCCATTTTTTTGAAAGAGTGCATAGGATAGATATTAATTTATCTTTGAAGATTTGGTAGAACTCACAGTGAACTGGGCCTGTACTTTTGTTCTTGGGAGTCATTTTCTTTGCTTGCGATTGATCTGTTCAAGTTTTCTTCTTCTTCCTGGTTCATTTTTGGAGGGTTGTAGATTACTATTTCTCCATTTCATCCAATTTATTGGCGTATAGGTGCTTGTAGTAATCTCTTATGATAATCTGTATTTCCGAAATGTCTATTGTAATTTCTACTCTTTCTTTTCTGCTTTTATTTAATAGATTTTTCTCTCTTTTTCTTAGTGTGTCTACCTACAGGTTTCTCTATTTTGTTGACTTCTTTCCAAAAGACCAGCTTTTGGTTTTACTCATCCTTTAGACCATCTTTTTAATTTCTATATCATTTCTTTCTGCTCAAATTTTCATTATTTCATTCCTTTTACTGACTTTTGGCTCAATTTGTTCTTTTTCTAATATCTTGATGAGAGAGGCAAGGTTCTCTATTTGAGATCTTATTTCTTGATCTGGTCTTGGATTGCTATATATTTTCTTGCTACTACTGCTTTTGCAGCATCCCATAGGTTTTCATAAGTTGTGTCTTTACTTTTTTTCATCTCTGGTAATTTTAAATTGCTTCTTTGATTTCCCCACTCATTCAATGGTTGTTCAGAGTGTGTTATTCAGTCTCCACATGTTAGAGGTTTTTCTCGCTTTGTTTCCATTATTGATGAACATCTTGATACCATTGTAATCAGAGATGATTCGATTCCAGTCTTTTTTTTTTTGTGACTCAGCATGTGGTACATCCTGGAGAATGTTCCATATTCACTTGAGAAGAATGTATATTCAAATTTTTGAGGTGCAGTAGCATATACATGCTCATTAAACCTATGTGGCTGAAATCCTCATTTATGACTATCATTTCCTTGTTTATTTTCTGATTGTTTTATCCATTGGTGAAACTGGGATTGATGTCCCTGATGATTATTGCATTGCTGTCAATGTCTGGTTTCAGATTTGATAATAATTTCTTATATATTTTGATGTTTCTTATTTGCTTAAATAATGATGAGTGTTATGTTTTCCTGATGTATAGATCTCTTAATCATTTTATAGTGTCCATCTCTGCCTTTTGTTACCTTTTTTTAGCTGGAAGTCTGCTTTTTATGATATAAAGTATGGTTTTCCCTGCCTTTTCCTGGGTCCCATTTGCTTGTAAGATTACCTTCCAACCTTTTACTTTAAGTCTGTTTATTTTTGGAGTTCAGTGAATCTCCTTGACATAACAGAAAGTTGGATTTTGTTTTTGGTTCCAACTGGCCACTCCATGCCTTTTGATTGATGAACTCAGTCTGCTTACATTTAGGGCGATTATTTTTTTTTTTTTTAATAGAGGCATGATTTATTTATTTATTATTTGTTTGTTTGTTTGTTTTGTTTATACATGCACTGGGTACAGTCAGAAGCGCGGGAGGGTGAGAGAATTCACCAGAGCCAGAGCGGGGAGCAGAGCAGGCAGAAGGACCAAAGTACACTGCCGAGGGGAGCAGCGGGCAGCAGGAGAGGTCTGCGCGCCATGTGGGACCCTCCTCCAGTGGCCGGGGAGCAGCGGGGGATCGAACCGGCGCCGCAGAGGCCGCAGGCAGCCTCGCAACCCAGTGCTCAACCGCTGCACCATCGGGGAGGCCCTAGGGCGATTATTGATATGTGAGGATCTGTTGTTGCCATTTTGTTTATAATTTTCTGTTCTACCTAACTTGTCATTCATTTTTTTTATTATGCTTCCTCCCTTTAATTTAGGTAGGCAAGTACCTTTCAATATTTCCTGTAGGTAGAGGTCCAGTTTGGCAAATTCCCTTCATCTCTGTTTGTCTGAGAAGACCTTTATTTCTTCCTTGAATTTGAAGAAGAATCTTGCAGGATAAAGTATTCTTGCCTGCAAATTGATATTTTAAATATGTCATTCAGTCTCTCCTTCCCAGTAGGGTTTCCTTCTAGAAGTCTGATATTGGTCTTACAGAATTTCTTTTATATGTCATCTGCTTTTGCCCCAAGTCACCTTCAATATTCTTTTCTTTATTTTGAATTCTTGACTATGTGTCTTAATGTAGATCTTATATTTAGATAACCAGGTGTTCTTTTAGCTCCGTGAATTTGTTTCTTTCCCAAATTTGAGGAGTTTTCCTCTATTATTTCTTTAAATAGATTGTCTGTTCCCTTCTCTCTCTCACTTCCTCTTCTGGAATACCCATTATCCCTATGTTGTTTTTCCTCTAAAGTCATACATGTCTTGAACTGTTTTTTCTTTTTGTCTTTCTTCTTCCACCTGGGTCTTTTGTGTATTATGAT